CTACAGTTCCTCAACTCTACCCACACAGATTCTACAACATCTGACCCTACTTCGTTTCTCACTATTGATTTAACTTCATTTCTTACGAATAAGGTAATCCCACCCCCTCTGCCCACCTGCCTATATTTTCGATAAGATGTATATCCTTGGATCTTAAGCTCCCAATCCTGATCCTTTTGCAGCCATGTTTCTGTGATGCCCACCACGTCATATCTGCCAATTTTGATCTGTGCCACAAGCTCATTTACCCTCTTTCTTATATTGCGTGCATTCAGATATAAATAATATCTTCAGTCCTGTATTAACTGTCCCACTTTTCATTGTCACTCGTTTATCCAGTGTGCTTGAAGTTTGATTTCTAACCCTTTCCAAACACACTGTCCTATTTGTGTCTGTGCTGTAGTCTTTAATAACCTCTCTCGAGTTCTCCTTTCCTGTCATTCTTTTCATATTTTTCCACACAGTGGCATCTACCCCTACAGATGTTAGCCTGTTGCTTTATTCCCCACTGGGTAAAGTTTCACTCTTCCCCCCCCACCCCACTTTCTAGTTTAAAGTCCTGTTGACCAGTCTATTTATCCTTTTCGCTAGAACATTGGTCCCAGCTTGGTTCAGGTGGAGACCATCCCAATGGTACAGATCCTTCCTGTTCCAAATCTGATGCCAGTGCCCCATGAAAAGGAACCCCTCTTTCCCATACCACTCTTTTAGCCACTTGTTTACTTCCCTTATTCTCATGTCCCTATGACAATTTGCACATGGCTTGGGCAGTAATCTGGAGATTATAACCCTTGAGAACCAGCTCTTTAATTTTGTTCCTAGCTCCTGATGATCTCTGAACAGGTCCTCTTTCCTAGTCTTGCTTATGTTGTTTCTTCTGAAATGGATCACAACAGCTAGATTCTCCCCATCCCTCTCGAATATCTTTTCAAGCTGTTCAGAGATATCCCTTACCCTGGCACTGGGCAGGCAACACAACATGCGGGACTCTCAATCTTGTTTACAAAGGATATTCCCCGGTTTATAGAATCTCCTACAACTACCACTTGTCTTTTTGCTCCCCCCTCTTGAATGGCCTTCCGCGCCACGGTGCAGCGGTTAGATGGCTCATCCTCCCTGTAGCCCTTTTCCTCATCCACACAGGGAGCAATTCAAAAGCTGAGGGTCCTCTGTTCGTGAATGCAGGATCCCTCCACCTGCCTCACTTGCAGTCACCCCCTGCTGTCCTTGGCCACTGACCAAATTTGAAGTACTTAATCTACCAAGTGTGACAGCCTCCTGAAACACAGCATCCAGGTACTTCTCCCCCTGCCAGATGTGCCGCAGTGTTTGAAGCTCAAATTCCAGCTCATCAACTCTAAGCCAAAGTTTCTCGAGCAACCAATACTTGCTGCAGGTGTGGTCACCACTGTTCGCAATGGGATCAGCACATTTTTTTGTTGGTCAGAGGAGGGGGGATGGAGGGAAACGCTGAAGTAGTGTCCCTTGACAACACTTCCTCCACAAACCCGTTTGGTCGTGGCGACTGTGCTGATGTAAATGTTCGCCCCAATTGCCAACCAGCATCGTTGCCATCCTCTGCTGAACCCCACCCACCCCCAGGTAGGGGCTACCCACCAGCACTGCCTCGGACCAGGGAACCCATTTCACAGGGACAGTATGTCAAGAAGTTTGCCGGTTATTGAGGATTGACTGGAACTTTCATGTCCCTATCATCCACAATCACTGGGGCAGGTGGAAAGAATGAGTCAGACCCTGAAACTGTGGCTGGCTAAATACCACCAGGAGGGAATGCCCTGGCGCCAGTCTTTACCAATAGTTCTGCGCAGTGTCAGGGCTATCCCCAACAAAATGACAGGTCTGAGTCCATTTGAAGTAGTGACAGGAAGGCCAACTTCATCTTATGAAGGATGCCCTGTTGTCTTACTGCCAAGCACTAACAGATACTGTAAGTTCTGTCTCCTCACACGTACTGGCTGCCTGGAAGGGCCCACTGGTGGGGTGGAGGGGTCACGACATTCTACCAGGCGAGTGGGGGCATGTAAAAAAGATCCACAAGGAACCCTTAGGCATGAAGTCGAAGAACCATATCAGGTGCTGCTAATCACCCAGTCGGCTGTCAAGGTCTGAGGAAAGAAAGCCTGGATTCACGCCTCCCACATCAAACAGGCATCCTACAATACAGTGGAACCAGAGACTGACTGACCACCGTTGGTGCCTACGGTCATTTTTTCAATGATGGTGATTGCAGTTTTTATACTATCAGGATATTCAGAGTTACATGCAAATACTTATCTCCATATGTCTTATACATATGACAAAGCTTCTAATCTGTCCAAGTGTTGGATATGTTTCCACGTTCCCACTCACTGTAAAGGGGGAATCCCACTCTACCCAATTCTCTTTAATGAACCTGAAATGGTAGAGTGATAGGTTTATCAAAATTTCACATCTCGCCCTTGTCTAGGCCCTGAGATGCTCGCCAATGCTTACAACCCAAAGGGAGGGTAACTCAGTTCTCTCATAAACATGACAGTGAGTACTGAAGCCTGGAGGTCTGCGAACCAACCCTGACCCGCTTCTCTGGGTGGTACCAGTCCAGCTATGATCGTACCCATAATCCGCCATTCCTAATACCTCAAATCGGCGAAGACCACAAGGGTCTGTGTGTTTTGTCAACTCCCTCAAAGGGGGACAAGAGATGGGAAGAGAGTAATTGCTCTCAGTATTTCAATGTCACAGCCTTATCCAGTCTGTTGACTGATTTTGTTAGGGGTATAAGTGGAGGTCCCATCTCCATGCAAGTATTCTGAGATTATCGCCCGTTTCACCTCCTGTAATGGCACATATTTCAGCTGTGGCCATAGAGCATACCTGTGGCTGCCCAGCCGCTGGGTGGGTTCATTGTTGCCTTGGGTATGTAGTACCCTATATATATCACTCGCCAAACCACCTAGCTGGAGACACGAGATCTCTGAAACCCAGCATTTCTTTGCTATTACATTTCCTTTCAATGGTAAGACCAAACTGGCCAGAGAAGCTATAACCCTGGCTTCGGTTCTGGAAAAGGTGGGAATACATTCTCCGCCCTTAGCAGAATAGATTATGAAATGGTCGCTATTCGTCAGGGGAGGCGACAGCCTACTGGTATCATTGCTGGACTGTTATTTCAGAGACCCAGATAACGTTCTGGGGACTCGGGTTCAAATCCCGCCATGGCAGATGGTGGAATTTGAATTCAACAAAAAAAATCTGGAATTAAGAATTTAATGATGACCATGATCCCTTGTTGATTGCGGGTAAAAACCCATCTGGTTCACAAATGTCCTTTAGGGAAGGAAACTACCATCCTTACCCGGTCATCCTTACCTGATCTGGCCTAAATGTGACTCCAGATCCACAGCAATGTGGTTGACTCTGAACTGCCCTTTGGGCAATAAGAGATGGGCAATAAATGCTGCCTAGCCAGTAATGCCCTCATCCCGTTAATGATTAAAAAGAAAAATTCACATGGTAGCGCGCCAGAACTGAATGGTCCTTGATTTTGTTTTAGCAGGGGAAGGGAAGGGACACCTGTGCTCTGATTGGCTCCAAATGTTGCACCTACATTCCAAATAATTCTGAAAGTATTACTAATTTGGGCAACCATAAGAGGTCGAAAACAACCGACGACCTCCTCCCTCTTCCCTGTGGAGTTGGGCTACAGGATGGCTGGGATCCTTAGGAACCTCCATTGTACAGGGACTCACGATGTTCATTTTTGTTATTCTAGCTGTGTATGTTGTTTTCTCTTTTTTAAGGTGCAGTTGCCAACAAGCTTTTAAGAGTATGAACCATCCCCAACTACTAGTGAACACTGACACAAAGTATTCGTTTTGAACCAAGCCTACATCCTCTGGTTCCACACACACATTACCGCTGTGCTCCTTAATGGGCCTTACTCATTCCCGGTTATCCTTTAACCATTAATGTACTGTAAAACAACTCAGCATTTTCCTTTATTTTACTTGGCTGTATCAATGTATGTTCCCTCTAAAGCTCTCCTCATCTCCCCTTTAAGTTCCCTCTTGCACATTTACCTGAAAGTATCCACTTCCTGTGCACTCTGGCCAAATTATATCTGGTCTTATTAAAATCAACTAATTTGGAACTTTGATTGCAGACCCATTCTTATCCTTTTCCATAACAATCCTGAATCTTTTCAAAAGAGCTCTGATAACTGTCTGCAAAATGCTCCCCCACTGATACTTCGACCACTTTGGTTACCTAAAGTGAAGTCCAGGACCTCCCTCTTCCCTTGGGACTTCTACATCCCGGCTTCAAAAGCTTTCTGGATCTATTTTAAATGTTGTTCTAAATGTTTCACACTATGATAACCAGAGTTAATGTTGAGAAAGTTGAAATTCCCCACTATCATGACCCTATTACTTTTACACTGAAATTTGCCTCCTTACTTGCTCTGCTAGTTCTATGGGTTTATTTAAAGGAATATTCCAAGTTGTAATAAATTCCCTGAGCATAATTGTGACACCACCTCCTCTTCTGCCTCCTTCGCTGTCTCACATGAAGACCTTGTATCCTAAAGTATTGAGCCTCCAATTCTGCCTTTCTCTCAATCATGTCTCAGTGACAGCAATGTCATCATACTCTCATGTTTTAATTTGTATCCTAAACTCATCTACCTTGTTCGTTGAACTCATAGCATTAAAATCAATGGCTTCCAACCATGTCAAATTCCCTTGTACCTTAACCAGCCTGTAATGTCGATGCCTTACTGACTCACTTGTTGATTCTTTCCTTTTCTTCTTACCACCCTTTTGGACATTCTCTCTGGATTCCATACCCTTGCCAATTTAGGTTACACCCAGCCTCACAGCACTTGTAACTAAATTTCTAGCATTACAAGCTATATCTCACTCTGGATATGCCTTTTCCCAACCGCTCACATGAAGGCTACGCATGGTTACCTTATCTCTAAGGCACTCAAAATGAGGCAGATCTGATGCAATGTAGTTTTAATGAAAAGCTGATTTGTATATCTTTATCCCAAATAAGTCAATGAACCAGTGGCGTTTACAAACATCATCAGAAACAGGTCCAGAAAATGGTGTTTGGATACAGACAACATCATCAAAACCCAACACTGACAGTTACTGGGGAACTCATTGCTGTTTAAGCAGTCTTGATGAACCACTAACTCACTTTACAAACAATATGCAGGTGGACAGTCTTTATCCAGTATAAATGTGTTGATGTACAGCGATACTGTGATCATTTTCAAAACTTACCATACAGATACATAATTGTATCAACATTTTACTGACAATACCAGAACTTTAAATAGAGCAGGGTTTTAATAATATCAATACAAACGGTCCAATGATGATGGTTCATTGCTTGTTGTAAGTAAAAGCAGAACCCTTCACCTGTGGTTCTTCGTGAATTTTCTGGTGTATTTGCAAATAGCAAATCCTTTTACACAACAGAGCAGGAGATGCACCTAGTGTCATTTCACTGCTGTGTTAGCAGTTTGGATTGCAGAGTGAATCCCTTCCCACTTACGGAACAAGTGAATGGTCTCTCCCCAGACTGAACATGCTGGTGCATCAGCAGGTGAGTTGACTGAGTGAATGCTACTCCCCAGTGTGAACTCGCTGGTGTTTCAGCAGGTGGGATGACTGGTTAAATCCCTTCCCACAATCGGAGCAGGTGAATGGTTTCTCCCCAGTGTGAACTCGCTGGTGTCTCCGGAGGTTTGATGACCGACTGAACCCTCTCCCACACAGGGAGCAAGTGAATGGTTTCTCTCCAGTGTGAACTCGCTGGTGTATTTGCAGGCTGGATGACTGAGTGAATCCCATCCCACACTGGGAGCAGGTGAATGGTCTCTCCCCCGTGTGGACTCGCTGGTGGATCAGCAGGCTGGATGACTGCACGAATCCTTTCCCACATTCAGAACAGGTGAATGGTCTCTCCTCAGCGTGAACTCGCTGGTGTTTCCGTAGGCTGGATGACTGAATGAATCCCTTTCCACACACAGAGCAAGTGAATAATTTCTCCCCAGTGTGAACTCGCTGGTGTTTCCGCAGGCTGGATGACTGAGTGAATCCTTTCCCACATTCAGAACAGGTAAATGGTCTCTCAGTGTGAACTTGCTGGTGTTTCCGCAAGTTGGGTGACAAAGTGAATCCCTTCTCACAATCGGAACAAGCAAACTGTTTCTCCCCAGTGTGACTGCATTGGTGAATCTGCAGGCTGGATGACTGAGTGAATCTCATCCCACACTGGGAGCAAGTGAACAGTCTCCCCCTAGAATGAACTTGCTGATGTCTCAGTAGGCTGGATGACAGGGCAAATCCCTTCCCACAAGCAGAGCAGGTGAATGGTCTCTCCCCGGTGTGAATCCACTGGTGGGACCGCAGGTGGGATGACTGAGTGAATCCCATCCCACACTGGGAGCAGGTAAATGGTTTCTCCCCAGTGTGAATTCGCTGATGGATCCGCAGGTTGGATGACCGAGTGAATCCCATACCACACAGGGAGCAGGAGAATGGTCTCTCCCCAGTGTGAACTCGCTGGTGTGTCTGCAGGTTGGATGACCGAGTGAATCCCATCCCACAATCAGAGCAGATGAATGGCTTCTCCCCAGTGTGACTGCGTTGGTGCATTTCCAGGTGGGATGGGTAAAGACATCCCATCCCACAGTCACCACATTTCCACAGTCTCTCCTTCCTGTGACTGCGCTGGCGTTTGGACATGTCAGATGAATCTTCACAGACTCTTGCACACACAACGACGATATGTGCTTCTCCCCAGTGTGAACGGTGCTTTTTCCTTCAATGTTCAAAATCCTGAGATAGTGAGGGTATGATAAAGAGTGACTGTCAGATCTGGATGTGGTTTCATTTGAAATCCCTCATTGCAAAACAACCTTTCAAACAAAAAACAAATGCATTAGAAGAAACCAGAAGAACACACAGGTTGTGAAACTGACAGAAATTAATCTGGTCACTTCTGGAGATGATATTTAGGAAAAATGCTGGATTATCTTTAAAACTGACTGGTTCATAAATGTCCTTCAGGGAAGGGAACCAGTCAGTGTTTGCTCAAAACTATAGAAAGAGATAGAGGTGGGAGAGACAGGCATAAAACAGCGACATTTTATAGATCTACAACTGAATCCTGTTCCTGTTTTCTCCCCATACCCTCCGAATGGCTAAAAACAAGCGCATAGTTCCTGGAAAGTGTAGTTTCACGTGGATCGGGTGCTTAAGACAGTGGTTAGCATGCTTATCTTTATTGATCAGTGCATTGATCAATAAAGAGACCCAGGTTTGATTCAACTCTGTGGAGTTTACACATTCTCCTCGTGTCTGTGTGGGGTTCCTCTGTGTGCTCCAGTTTCCTTCCATATCCAAAGATGTGCGGGTTAGGTGGAGTAGCCATGGGAAATACACGGTTAAAGGGATAGGGTGGGATGCTCTTTGGATGGTTGGTGTGGAATCGTGGGCCAAACGGCCTGCTTCCATATTGTAGGGATTCTAGGGATTCTATTGTAGGGAGGTCATGTAACGGCTTATAGGACATTGGCCAGGCCAGTTTTAGAATACTCGTTCAATTCTAGTATCCCTGATTTTGGAAAAATGTTATCATGGCAGGATTTGTACACTTAATGTGAAGTTCCTGGGAGGTGTTGCTGAACAAAGAGACCTTGGAGTACAGGTTCATAGTTCCTTGAAAGTGGAGTCGCAGATAGACAAGACAATGAAGGAGGCATTTGGTACGCCAGCTGTTATTGGTCAGTGCATTGAGTCTTGGAATTGGGAGGTCATGTGGCAGCTGTACAGGACATTGGTCAGGCCGCTTTTGGAATACTACTTTCAGTTCTGGTCTCTCTGCTATTAGAAAGATGTGAAACTTGAAAGAGTTCAGAGAAGATTTACAAGAATGTTGCTAGGGTTGGCGTAATTGAACTATGGGTAGAGACTGAATACGCTGTGCCTATTTTCCCTGAGCTTTGGAGACTACGGGGTGACCTTATTGATGTTTATGAAATTGTGAGGAGCATTGGTAGGGTGAATAGTCAAGGTCTTTTTCCCAGGGTAGGGGAGTCTAATATGAGACGGCATAGGCTTAACGTGAGAGGGGAAAGACTTAAAAGAGACCTAAGGGGGAACTTTCTTTACGCAGAGGGTGGTGCACGTGCAGAATGAGCTGATTGGCATGGATGAGTTGGACTGAAGGATCTATTTCCATGCTCTGCATCTCAATGACTCTACGTTGTTAAACTTGAAAGGTTTCAGAAAAGATCTACGAGATTATTGCTAGGATTGGAGAGTTTGAGATAAAGGGAGAGGTTGAATAGGCTGGGGCTTTTTCCGTGGAGTGTCAGAGGCTGAGGGGTTATCTTATATGGGAGTATGGATAGGGCAAATAGCCAAGGTCTTTATTTCCCCAGGTTCAGCGAGTTCAAAACTAGAGGACATTGGTTTAAGGTGATAGAGGAAAGATTTAAAAGGAACCTGAGGGGCAATCTTTTTACTCAGAGGTTGGTGCGTGTATGGAAAGAGCTGCCAGTAGAGGTGGTGGACACAGGTATAATTACAACAGTTAAAAGGCATCTGGATGGGTACATGAATTGGAAGTGTTCAGAGGTATACGGGCCAAATGCTCGCAAATGGGACTAGATCAGTTTAGGATATCAGGTCGAGATGGACAAGTTGAACTGAAAGGTCTGTTTCGTGCTGTCTAACTCTGACTCTAAGTGCTTAAGTAAAATGGTGGAAATATGAAAGAAAAACAAATGTGCTGAGCAGCAGGTCTGGCAGAAATGGTGACAGATTGCAACCTTGAAGTGTTCAGATGATCTTACAAGGCGCTACGATATAGGTTACACGCAGAGTGCCAGAAAATGGGACAACAGTAAGTAGGTGCTTGATGATCAGAATGGATATGATGGGGTCATTATGTTCAACAACTTTGAGACTCAGGTAGGAGTGGCAAGCAGTGAAGAATGCAAATGATACAATGGGCTTCATAGTGAGAGGATTCAAGTACAGGAGCAGGGATGCCTTTCTGTAAGGGCTTTAGTGAAACCACGCCTGGAATACTGTGTGCACCTTTGTTTTCCTTTCCAAAGGATGGATGCCCTGGCTATTGAGAGCGTGAAAAGGAGATTCACCAGACTGATTCCTGGGATGTCGGGACTGATGTACAAAGAGAGTCTTGATCTTTGTTTAATCCTTCTTTCTTTTGTCTTTCTGAGCTGCTGACTCCATCACTAACTAAAATTATACCTTGCACTTCCTGATCTGAATATGACCCATTCAAACTACACTTTGGTTCCCATTCCCCTGCTATACTCATTTAAAACCTCACCAACAGAACTGACAAAAGGCCCCAAAAGGATATTTATCCCAGCTTTGCCCAGGGGCAATCGGTCTGGCTTGTACAGTTCCCATCTAACTCAGAAATGGCCCTAATGCTTAAGAATCTAAACAGTTCTCTGCTACACCTTTCTCTAACCACACATTCATCTGATCTATCCTCTTATTCCTGCTTTTGCAAGCATATGGCACTGGGAGTAAGTCTGACATTATTACATTTGAGGACCTACATTTTAAAGTATCTTCTATCTTCCTATATTCAGCTTTCATGGAATACCTGCGGCTCAACAAGTCCATACCAACCCTCAAGAGCATCCCACCCAGACCCATCCCCTATAACCCACCTAATCTACACATCCCTGAACACTATGGGCAATTTAGCATGGCTAATCCACCTAGCCTGCACATCTTTGGACTGTGGGAGGAAACCAGAGCACCTGGAGGAAACCCACACAGACACGGGGAGAGTGTGCAAACTCCACATAGACAGTCACCCGAGGGTGGAATCGAACTCGGGTCCCTGGTGCTATGAGGCAGCAGTGCTAACCACTGAGCCAACGAGCCACCCTCTCTCTCTCTGCAAATTAAATATCCTGGAAACAAATCTGCACCTGGATTAAATCACTGCTTAACCTCAGAGACAGTCAGACTGCAGATGTTGGAAGCTAGAGTCAATATATGCGGAGCTGGAAAAGCACAGCAGGTCAGACAGCGTCCGAGGAGCAGGGAAGTCAACGGTTCGAGCTGAAACCCTTTGTCACCAAAATGTTGACTTCGCTACTCCTCGGATGCAGTCTGACCCACTGCTTAACCTTCTCAGCTCCAAGGATAATTATCTGATCTTCTGCTACCTCTCCACAAAAGAGAAGCCCATCCTAATTTTAACTTATTAGAGTCAGAGGGCTGCACCACACAGAAGCAGACTCTTTGGTCCAATTTGTCCAAGCCAAGTAGATATCCTAAATAAATCTAGTCTACCCTACCCATGCCCCTCATGATTTTATAAACTTCCATAAAGTCACCTCTCAGTCTCCAATGGTCCAGTGAAAATAGCCCCAGTCTTTTCAGCCTCTCCTTATAGCTCAAACCCTCCAACCCTGGAAACATCTTTGCAAGCCTTTTGTGAACCTTTTCAAGTTTCAAAACATCTTTCCTAGAGCAGGGAGACCAGAACTGAATGCAGAATTCCAGAAGTGGCCTAACCAATGTCCCGTTTTGCCGCAACATGATGTTACAACTTCAATATGCAATGCACTGACCAACAAAGGCAAGTGTACCAAAAGCCTTCTTCATACCCTGCCTACGTGTGACTCCACTTTCAAGGAACTTGCATCCCAAGGTCTTTGTTCAGCAACACTCCCCAGGACCTTACCATTAAGTGTATAAGTCCTGCCCTGATTTGCCTTGCCAAAATGCAGCACTTCATATTTACCTAAATTAAACTCCATCTGCCACTCCTCGCCCATTTGCCCATTTGATCAAGGTCCCATTGTACTCTGAGGTAATCTTCTTCACTGTCCACTGCACCTCCAGTTTTAGTGTTTTCTGTAAACTTACTAACCATACCTCATATTCACATCAAAATCATTTACATAAATGACAAAAAGCAGTGGACCCAGCGTCGATCCTTACAGCACACTGCTGACCACACGGCTCCAGTCTGAAAAGCAACCCTCCACCTCTAGCCTCTGTCTCCCACCCTCAAGCCAATTTTATATCCAAATGGCTAGCTCTCCCTGTTTTCCACGTTAGCCATGTCTTTCTGAAGTCCATATTGATAACATCCACAGCTCTGCCTTCATTAATCTTCTTTGTCAGTTCTTCAAAAAACTCAATCCAAGTTAGTGAGATACGACTTCCATGCACAAAGCCACGTTGACGATCCCTAATCATTCCTTGCCTTGCCAAATACATGTAAATTCTGTCCCTCAGCATCCCTTCCAACAAATTGCCTACAACTGACTTCAGGCTCAACTGGTCTATTGTTCCCTGGCCTTTCCTTGCTTCCTTTCTTAAATAATGGCACCTAATTTCCCGCACTTCATCTGTGGCTATTGATGATACAAATATCTCAGCAAGGCCCGAGCAATCACTTACCCAGCTTCCCAAAAAATTCTGGGATTCACCTCATCAGATGCCAGGGATTTAGCCACCTTTATGCAATTTAAGACATGCAGTACCTGTTCCTGTGTAATATGGACACTTTTCAAGTTATCACTATTTATTTCTCCAAATTCTCTAGCTTCCACGTCCTTTTCCAGTAGAAGCTGACATGAAGTAGTCATACAGTATCTCTCCCACCTCCTGCAGTTCCATCAACGGCCTTGCTGATCTTTAAGGGTCCCTATTCTCTGCCTAGTTACTCTTTTATCCTTGATGTATTTGTAGACTCTCTTTGGATTCTCCTTAAACTTATTTCCCAAAGATATCTCATGTCCCCTTTTTTGCCCTCCTGATTTCCCTCAAGTATACTCCTACTGCACTTATACTGCTCTAGGGATTCAGTCAAACCCACTTGTCCATACCTGACATATGTCTTCTTTGTTTTCTTGACCAGAGCCTCAATTTGTCTAGTCATCCAGCATCCTCCTCACCTAACAGTCTTGCCCTTAATACGACATACTGTCTCTGTACTCTCGTTGTCTCATTTTTGAAAATCTATGGAGGCAATGGCAGGCGAGGACATTGAAATGATCATTATCACTAAAGAGGTATTGTTGGGCAAGCTAATGGGCTAAAGGTAGACAGGTCCCCTGGCCCTGACTGAACACATCCCAGGGGGCAAAAAGAGATGGCGGGGGGAATAGCAAATGTGCCCGTGGTGATTCACTAAAATTTCCTGGACTCTGGGACAATTCTAGCAACAAAGCAGCAAACGTGATGTCACTATTTTGAAAAAAGGCGGGTAACTATGGACCCATTAGCTTAACTTCTGCAGTGGGGAAAAAGCTTGAATCTATCAAAGGAGAAATAGCGAGATATCTAGATAGAAGTTGTCCCATCATGCAGGTGCAGCACAGAGTCATTAGAGGCAGGTCATGTTTAAAATTATTGACTGGAATTCTTTGAGGATATTACAAGTGTGGTGGACAACGGGGAACCAGTGGATGTGGTGTATTTGGATTTCAAGAAGGCATTCGACAAACTGCCACACAAAAGGCTGCTGCATAAGATAAAGATGCATGGCACTACAGGTAATTTATTAGCATGGATAGGGGATTGGTTAATGTACAGCAAGCAAAGAGTGGGGATAAATGGGTGTTTGAATTAGTGTTGGGACCGCAATTATTTACAATTTACACAGATGATTTGGAGTTGGGACCAAGTGTAGTGAGTCAGAGTTCACAGATGACACTAAGATGATTGGTAGAGCAAAGTGTGCAGGGGCCACTCTAAGTCTGCAGAGGGATATAGGTAGGTTAAGTGCGTGGGCAAGAGTCTGGCAGTTGGAGTACAATATTAGTAAATGTGAGGTCATTCATTTTGGTTGGAATAGCAACAAACTGGACTATTATGTAAATGGTGAAAAATTATAGCATGGTGCTGTGCAGACAGGCCTGGGTGTCCTTGTGCAGGAATCACAAAATGTTGGTTTGCAGATGCAGCAGGTAATTACGACAGCAAATGAAATATTGTCCTTCATTGCTAGAGGGATGGAGTTTACAAACAGGGAGGTTATGCTGCAGTATAGGGTGCTGATGAGGCTATGCCTGGAGTACTACGTGCCGTTTTGGTCTCCTTACTTCAGCAAGGATGTAGTGGCACTGGATGGAGTGCAGAGGAGGTTTACTAGGTTGGTTTTGGAATTGAGAAGGTTGGCTTATGAGAAGAGATTCAGTAGTAGCAGTACTACACTATTGGAATTTAGAAGAATGAGGTGGGAGGATCTTACAGAAAGCTATAATATTATGAAGGGAATTGATAAGATAGATGATGAAGAGAGGTTGTTTCCACTGGTGGGAGAAGTAGAGAGCAAAGCCTCAAAATAAGGGGGAGCAGATTTAGGACCGAGTTGAGGAGGAACTTCTTCAAGCTAAAGGGCTGTGAATCTATGGAATTCCCTGCTGAGTGAAGCAGTTGAGGCTACCTTCTTGAATGTTTTTAAGGCAAAAGGTAGATTTTTGAACAGTAAAGGAATTAAGGGTTATGGTGAGTGGGCAGGAAAGTGGAGCTGAGTCCATGAAAAGATCAGTCACAATCTTATTGAATGGCTTGACAGGCCAGATGGCCAACTACTGCTATTTCTTATGCTCTTATGTTGCCACTTTCCAGCCATCCCTTTACCTGTGAACAGGGTCCCCCAATCAAATTTTGAAAGTTCTTGCCTTGTCCCATCAAAACTGGCCTTCGCCTAATTTAAAACTTCGACATTTCGATCTGGTCTAGCCTTTCCATAACTACTTTAAAAATAATGGAATTATCATAGAATCTCTACAAGCGTGGAAGCAGGCCATTCTGCCTATAAGTCCGCATCAACCCTCTGAACAGCCTCTTACGCAATCCCAGTAACCCTGCATTTCCCATGGCTGATCCACCTAACCTGCACATCCCTGGACACTACGGGCAATTGAGCCTGACTAATTCATGTAACCTGCACAGCTTTGGACTGCGGAAGGAAACCGGAGCACCTGGAGGAAACCCACGCAAACATGGGGAGAATGTGTGAACTCCACACAGACAGTCACCAGAGGGTGAAATCAAACCCAGGTCTCTGGTGCTGAGGCAGTAGTGCTAACCACTGAGCCACATACCGTGAGATCTCTGGTGCTGAAGTGCCAATCCCACTGATAAGCCAGTCACTTGCCCTCCCTTATTTCCCAAGAGAAGGTCACATTTTGCTCCTTCTCTAGTAGGTACATTCTACAAACTCAATCAGAACATTTTCCTGTACACACTGAACAAATAATTTTCCATCCAAGCCCTTAACAATTCGACAGCCCCAATCTATGTTTGGATAGTTAAAAACACCTATCATTAGAACCTTATTATTCTTACAAATAACAGATCTCCCCAAAAATTTGCTTCTCAATTTCCCACTGATTATTAGGGGGTATCTATTGTACAATTCCAATAAAGTGATCATCCATTTCTTATTTCTAAGTTCCACTCAAATAACTTCTCTGGACGTACTCCCAGGAATATTTCACTAAGTACAGCCATAATATTATCCCTAATCAAAAACACCACTCCCCCTCATCTCTAGTCCCCCTTTCTATCTTTCTTATACCCTGGAACATTAAGCTGCCAGTTCTATCCATTCCGGAGTCATATTTCTGTAATAGCTAAGATATCCCAGTCCCATGTTCCCAACCATGCCCTGAGCTCATCTGCCTTACCTGTCACGCCTCTTGCATTGAAATAAATGCAGTCTAACTTGTCAGTCCTATCTCGTTCTCCGCCTTGATCCTACCTGCCTTGACTGTTGGACTTCTCACTTGTACCAGCTTCAGATGTATCTCTTTTCTCACTATCTCTTTGGGTTTACCCTCACTCCCTTACTGGTTTAACGCCTCCCGAGTAGCACTAGCAAATCTCTCTGCCTGGATATTTGTCCCCTTCCAATTCAGGTACAATCCATCCTTCTTAAACAGGTCAATTCTACCCCAGAAGAGATTCCAATGATCCAAAAATGTGAATCCTTCTCCAACTCCTCTGCCATGCATTCATCTGCTCTATCCTGCTATTCTTATTCTCATTAGCATGTGGCACCGGGAGTAATCCAGATATTACTATCCACGAGGACTTACTTATTAACCTCCAGCCTAATTTCCTACATTCTCTCATTAGGACCTCATCCTTTTCTCTTCCTATGTCACTGGTACCAATGTACAATGACCTCCTACTGGTCATTCTCCCCTTTGAGAATAGTCTGCACCCCCTCTGATACATCCTTGATCCTGGCACCAGGGAAGGAACACACCATTCTGATGTCTCTCTGACGGCTGCATAAACAGCAGTCTGTGCCTCTGACTAAGTTCCACTCAAATAACTTCTCTGGACGTACTCCCAGGAATATTTCACCAAGTACAGCCTTAATATTATCCCTAATCAAAAACAACCACTCCCCCTCATCTCTAGTCCCCCTTTCTATCTTTCTTATCACATTCAATCACTTGGAACCTCAAGTACCCTTTGTTACAGTCGAGCTAGTCTTGGTACCAGTAACCTGGTTGTCAGTGCTACATTCCCCTGAAAATCTATCACACCTGCATTGTCCAAAACAGCATACTTGTTCGAGATGGGGATAGCCACAGGAGACTTCTGCACTACCTGGCTACCTCTCCTATCTTTCCTAGAAATAACCCATCTACCTGACTGTACATGCAATTTTTCTACATTCTTGAAACTACTATCTATCACACCCCCGGCTCCTATAAATTGCTCATTGCCTTTAACTGTCGCTCCAACTGATCCAATAGGATTTGCAACCACACTTCCTGCTGCCATAATCGTCAGGATCACTGAAATTCTCCCTAATCTCCCAGATCTGACAGGAGGAGTACATCGCTCTACGAATGACCATCTCTGCACCTTAACAATCTACAAACCCAAAAAAGGGACAGTCTTACTCTTCGAAAAACACTACTCTGGAATAGCTTAGTACCTGTGATTTATGTTTAAAAAATGTCATCAAGCGAAAGTAAGACACATCTTAAAAACAAACCTTCACCTTACTCAATGTTGTAGATTTACTAACAAAAAAAAATTAAGACTTATGTTTTAAGAGACATAAAACCACTGAGCTGATCCCTGGTGTGGGTAGTTCTGATAATGAGATCTCTCCAAGGTCACCTATGAAATGTCACTGTTTGTTTTTCTTTTGTCCCAACTCCATTTCCAGAGAGGCATGCAACTTCAAAGCCAGTCAGCTGGGAGAGCTCACTCCTTGGTTTTATTCATCGGGTGTGGTCTTTGCTGACTAGATCGGTATTTATTGGGCATCATTATTTGGTTTGGAGAAAGAGGTAGTGAACTGCCTTCTTGAAATGCTGCAGTTCACGTGCTGTAAGTGCACCACAGTGCTATTTCGACGATAACCTTCTGTGGTCTCACACAGCCCTCCCCATCTCTGTAATCCCCGTCCAGCCTCTCAGCCCTCCCCAACACTGTAATCCTCTTCAGCCTCAGAAATTACATTTCCATGGTAGAACATTTTTATTTTCATTCATTTTTGGTTCTTTTGTATCAAAAACACAAATAAAAACCCCAAAAATGTGCGTGGTATTGTTTTCAGAGTTCTGTTAACAGACGTTTTGGAGAGGTCTACACAAGGACGGCTGAGTTCTTTTCTCAAATTATACGCGTAGAAGGACAGTTTTTTTCTTTAAAAGCATCGCTGAAAAGGAAGGCGATGACCTAATGATGTTTTCACTAGACTAGTAATGTGGAGACCCTAGTAATCTTCTGGGGACATGGGTTCAAATTAAAAGTCTAATGATGACCATGAAATCCTTGTTTATTGTCAGGAAGAGCCCATTTGGTTCACTAATATCCTTTTAAAAAGGAAACTGCCATTCTTACCTGGTCTGGCCTACATGTGATTCCAAACTCACAGCAATGTGACTCTCAACTCTCAACTGCCCTCTGAGCAATTAACAATGAGTAATGAATGCTGGCCCAGCCATTAATGTCCTCATCATCTGAACAAATAAAGAAAAAGATCTTTTTAAATCACTGGGTGGACTTTTTTTTTAAAAGTTTGTTTACAGAGTTTTTCAAATAAAAGGAATGATTATCTTGATGGGATTGTACTATAGACCCTTAAATAGTCAGTGCAAAACTGATGAGCAAATGTGAAGAGAAATTTCAGATATGTGTCAGAATAATAATGTTGTAATAGCAGGTGATTTCATTTTTCCAAACATTGACTGGGACTACCATAGCGTTAAAGGTTTGAAGAATTTATTAAATGAGTTCAAGAAAATTTTCTTTATCAAGATGTAAACTGTCCTAGCAGAGAAGGAGCAAAACTTGACATTCTCTCGGGTAATAGGCAGGGCAAGTGACTGAAGTGATAGTAGGAGAACACTTTTAGGTCTAGTAATCAAAATTCTCTGTTTTAGAATAGTTATGGAAAATGATAAGCCTTCCATAAAAATGAGAGGTTTTAATTGGAATAACGCAAATTTTAATACTATGAGACAAGGACTTTCAGAAGTTGATTGCGGTAGATTGTTTGTAGGTAAAGGGACGTCTGCTAAGTGGGAGGCTTTCAAAAGTGTGACAACATGAGTTTGGAGGCACTATGTGTTAGAGTGAACAGTCAGGCTGTTAGGATTAGAAAACAATGGATGAATAAAGATATTGAGGCTCTAGTCAAGATTAAAAAGAGTCATACATCAGGTACAGACAACTGGGTTCAAATAAATCTCTTGAACAGTATCAAGAGCGTAGGGGCATTCTTAAGAGGGAAACCAGGAAGGCAAAGAGAGAATATGCGATAGCCTTGGCAAATAAGGTTAAAGATAATCCAAAGAGATTCAACGAGTACATTAAGAGCAAGATAGCAGCTAGAGAGACAGTAGAGCCCTCTTAAAGATCAAAGAGGTCATCTTTGTGTTAATTCTCAGGAGATGGGAGAGATATTAAATAAATAGTCTGCATAGTTTTTACTGTGGAGAAAGAAATGGAGGCTAGAGAACTCAGGGAATTAAATATTGAAGTTTTGGAAACAGTTCACACATTACAGAAGAGAATGTGCTGAAAGTCTTAGAAATCCAAAGGTGGATAAATCTCCAGGACCTGATCTAGTGTATCCCAGGACATTGTGAGAAGCAAGGGAGGAAATTGTGGGGCCACTTGCAGAAATATTTGTATGATCTACAATTACGGGTGAGGTGCATGATGACTGCAGAGTGACTAATGTTGCCCCTTTGTTTAACAACAAATGCAAGGAGAAGCCTGGGAACTATAGACCTGCGAACCTGACTTTGGTGGTGGGTAAGTTGTTGGAGGTGATTCTGAAAGATAGGATTTATATGCATTTGGAGAGGCATGAAGTGATTAGGGATAGTCAGTGTGGCTTTGTGAGAGGGTGTTTCACAAACTTGATTGAGTTTTTTGAGGGAGTAACCGAGAAGACTGATGAGGGCGGAGTGGTAGATATTGAATAACTGGACTTTCATAAATCTTTTGACAACATTCTGCATGGAAGGCTAATTCATAAAGTTAGATCACATGTGATTCAGGGGGAACTTGCCAACTGGATACAAAATTAGTTTAACAGTAGGAGACAGAGTGATGAAGGGTTGTTTTTCGAACTGAAGGCCTGTGACAGCGGTGCTCCACAGGGATCAGTGCTGGGTCCACTTCTGTTTGTCATTTATATAAATGAGTGAGATGAGAATATAGAAGGCATAGTTATTAAGTTTGTAGGTGACACCAAAATTGGTGGTATACTGGACAGTAACAGTAATCTCTTTGTAAGATTACAAAGAGATCTTGATCAATTGAGTCAAATAGCTGAAGAGTGGCAGATGGAGTTTAATTTGGATAATTGCAAGAATTGCATTTTGGTAAAACGAATAAGGGCAGGACTTACACAATTAGAAGTAGGGCTTTGGTTAGTGTTGGAAAACAGAGATACCTAGGGGTTCAGATCTTTGAAGTTTGTGTCACATATAGATAGGGTAGTTAAGATGATGTTTAGCACGCTGCCTTCATTGCTCAGACCTTGGACTACAGGAGCTGGGACATTATATTGAGGGTGTACAGGGTGTTGGTGAGGCTTCTTCTGGAGTACTGTGTCCAGTTCTGGTTGCCCTGTTATTGGAAGGATATTATTAAGCTGGAAAGGGTTCAGAAGAGATTTACTCGGATGTTGCTGGGATTGGAGGGTTTGAGTTATAAGGGGAGGTTCAATGGACTGGCACTGTTTTCACTGGAGCTGAGGAGTAATCTTATTAGAAGTTTAGAAAATCACAAAGGGTATAGATAAGGAGAATGGCAGGTGTCCTTTCCCTAGGTTGGGGGATTTCAAGATGAAGATACATATTCTTTAAAGTGAGAGGAAAAAGATTTTTAAAAAAAGATATTAGGGGATTTTTATTTTTTACACAGAGAGTGGCTCCTGTGTGGACTGGACTTTCAGAGGAAGTGGTGGATATGGATATAGTTACAATGTTTAAAAGACATTTGGACAAGTTCATGAATGAGAAATGTTTGGAAGGATATGGGAAAAGTGCAGGCAGGTGGGACTAGTTTAGTTTGAAATTATGGTCGCCATGGTCTGGTTGGAAAGAAGTCTGTTTCCAAGCTACATAACCCTATGATTCTAACTCTTGCTATCTCTGTAAATTCCTCCAGACTCACATTCCTCCCATGTCGCCGTCATCTCATCCAGCCTCACGTCCCTCCCTTGTCGCTGTCACCTGCCAGGGGAAGCTATAGGGGCCAGGCCTCTGGCACTGAGCCTGGCTCTATGGCTCAGAAGGGAATGGGGGAGAATAGGAGAGCGATAGTGATAGGAGATTCAATGATTAGGGGAACAGGCAGGAGATTCTGTGGTCCCGAAAGAGACTTTTGGATGGTATGTTGCCTCTCGGGTGCCAGGGTCAGGCATGTCTCGGATCGAGTCTACAGGATTCTTAAGGGGGAGGGTGAGCAGCCAGAAGTTGTGGTACACATTGGTGCCAATGACATAGCTAGGAAAAGGGATGAGGTCCTGAAAAGCGAATACAGGAAGTTAGGTTGCAAAGTAAAAGACAGGATGAGCAGAGTAGTAATCTCAGGATTACTACTGGTGCCACGGGCTAGTGAGACTAAGAATAGAGAGCGAGTGCAGCTGAACACGTAGCTACAGAGCTGGTGTAGGAGGTGGGGGGCTTCAGATATGTGGATAATTGGGATACCTTCTGTGGAAGGTGGGTCCTGTACAAGAAGTAGGTGTTGCACCTAAACTGGAGGGGCATCAATTTCCTGGGCAGGAGGTTTGCTAGAGCTCTTCAGGAGGGTTTAAACTAGTTTGGCAGGGGGATGGAAACCGGAGCTAGGGATCAGAGGATGGGGTAGCTGGAGTACCAGCTGATAGTGTGCAGAGAGTCTGTGAGGAAGGATAGACAGTCGATAGGGCAAAGTTGCCGTCAGTGTGACAGGTTAAAGTGTGTCTATTTTAACGCAAGAAGTGTTAAGAATAAGGGTGACGAATTTAGAGCATGGATCAGTACTTGGAGTTACGATGTTGCGGCCATTATGGAGACTTAGATAACACAGGGGTAGGAATGGTTGTTGGATGTTCTGGGGTTTAGATGTTTCAAAAGAAAGAGGGAGGGAGGTAAGAGGTGGGAGAGTGGCATTGCTAATCAGGGATGGTATCACAGCTGCAGAAAGGGAGATCATCGAGGAGGGATTGTCTACTGAGTCAGTATGGGTGGAAGTCGGAAACAGGAAAGGAGCAGCCACTTTATTGGGAGTTTTCTATAGAACCCCCAGTAGCAACAGAGACACTGAGGAACAGATTGAGAGGCAGTTTTTGGAAAAGTGCAGAAGTAATAGGATTGCTGTCACAGGTGACTTCAACTTCCTGAATATCAACTGGAACCTCCTAAGTGCAAATAGTTTGGATGCAGCAGATTTTGTCAGGTATGTCCAGGAAAGATTTCAGACTCAATATGTAGATAGGCCGACTAGAGGGGAGGCCATATAGGATTTAGTGCTAGGCAACGAACCAGGCCAGGTGTCAGATCTCTCGGTGGGAGAGCATTTCGGTGATAGTGGTCACAACTCCCTGACCTTTACTATAGTCATGGGGAGGGATAGGAGCAGACAGTATGGGAAAGTATTTAATTGGGAGAGGGGGAATTATCATGCTATTAGGCAAGAACTGCAGAGCATATATTGGGAACAGATGTTCTCAAGGAAATGCACGACAGAAATGTGGAGGTTGTTTAGGGAGCATTTGCTACGAGTTCTGTATAGGTTTGTTCCACTGTGGCAAGGAAGGGATGGTAAGGTGAAGGAACCTTGGACGACAAGACATGTGGAACATCTAGTCAAGAGGAAGAAGAAAGCTTACTTAAGGTTGAGGAAGCAAGGATCGGACAGGGTTCTAGAGGTCTACAAGGTAGCCAGGAAGGAACTGAAGAATAGACTTGGGAGGGGTATGAAAAAGCCTTAGCAGGTATGTTTAAGGAAAACCCCAAGGCATTCTATACTTATGTGAGGAACAAAAGGATGTCCAGAATGAGGGTAGGGCCAATCAGGGATAGTGGAGGGAACTTGTGCACAGAGTTGGAGGTGGTAGAGGAGGTCTTTAATGAATATTTTGCTTCAGTATTCACCAACGAGAGGGATCTTGACGTTTGTGAGGACACCATGAAACAGGCTGGTAGGCTCGAACAGGTTGATGTTAGGAAGGAGGACGTGCTAGAAATTTTGAAAAACATGAGGATAGATAAGTCCCCTGGGCCAGACGAGTTATGCCCGAGGTTGTAAGGGAACCAAGGGAAGACATTGCTGCGCCTTTGGCTTCCTCACTGTCCACTGGAGTAGTTCAAGGTGATTGGCAAATGTTATTCCATTGATCAAGAAAGGGAATAGGGATAATCCTGGGAATTACAGACCAGTCAGTCTTACTTCTGTAGTGGGCAAATTATTGGAGAGGATTCTGAGAGATAGTATTTGTGATTATTTGGAAAAGCAT